GGGCAGGAGGAGCCAGGGTGGGCAGGTGTGCATGACAGGACTCACTTCTTGCAGGTGAAGTGCATGGAAAAACCTTGAGTTCCCTTTGTTCTCCAGTGTATCTTGTACAAAATATTACATTTTTAAACATATAAACATTGCACTCTTAATAATCACGCCCTTCTAGATGACTGACCAGCCTGGTCTCTTGATACCTGGTCTCCTTGTCCTTGCTGGCTCGCCCCCTCCAGGTAGGACTCATAACAAGCTCTCCTGCTTCCCCAAGGTCAGGACACCACCTGGTATCCAGGATAAATTTGGTAAATGGTCAGGTTCAATTCCTCACATAGCTTGGGTGGCCTGGCTCGGGAGCAGGGGAAAAGCCTTCAGAGACCATGGAGGGGAATGGAGACCCAGAGAGCACGGGGAACAGAGCAGGTACAAGTGCTGGCCTTTCCCTGGCCCTACCCACCTGAGGGCCTCTCTTCCCTGGTGCAGTGTCTCTGGCTGTGACTGAGGGCCTGGGCCTGGTGCTATCTCCCTCCCCTCAGTGTCCCAGTGCTGGGACGTGGCAGAGACCGGCATGGAGGAACAGCCCAGGGCTCCCAGAGTGGAACCTCAGCTGGGCAGGTGACTTGGCTCATCTGGCCCAAGGCTCACCAGGGCTCCGGGACACCCCCCACCCTGGAGAGACTGATTTAGGAGGCCTGTGGTCAAGCTAAAAGTTTCATTTTGAACTCAAGCCCCAGGGATTCTGTCACCCACCCAAGACAGGAACCCCTCAAGAGCATCCTAACTGGTCCGCCTGCAGGCCTCTGATGGCAGTCTCCCTCCCTCCTTCACGCACTTGGCAGTGACACATTCTTTGTCAGACAGGGCTGTAATCACCCACTCACTGGCCCCAGCTCATTAACTGGCCCATGTGAGGCCCCTGGCAGCAGACACAGTGGTGACGGTGACAAGAGGTGAGAGGAGGCTGATGAGTAAACACATCTTCAGGAATGGCCAGGACTGCAGAGGAAGCGGCCTGGGTGTAGACTCCTGGGAAGGGATGACGCAGGTCAGGGTAGGAGGGCAGCGCTTCCAGGCAGAGGGACAAAGCCTGGCACGAGGTGCAGGCTGTGTAAGAGCCCACACTGCCTCCGGAGGAGAGGCGCGGTGGGTGCGGGAAGCCTGCTGAGCGGGCTGAGCCGAAAGCTGATGAAAGACCCTTTCGCCTGCTTAAGAGCCTGGGCTTGGCTGGCAGTCGGGACCATGGGAAGATTAGCACAGAGGGCGCCGTGCTGGATCTGCAGGTCAGGAACAGTTCTAGCTGTTCTGGGGAGGAGGTGTGAAATGATGCGGGGTGGGACTGAGGCTGAGGGAGGCCTGAGGGAGAGCTCGTCCACTGCACCCCTGCCCTGGGCTCCCTTCCCTCTCCCCACCTTTCTTGCCAAGGCGGCCCCAGGGCAGTGTCCATAGAGGCTGACAGGGGTGGGATCCCGAGAGCCCCTCATGCGATGCCCAGCTGTGGGACGAAACTTGCTGCTGGACCCAGCCCAGAAGGCAGACAGGCATCAGTTGCCAGGGTGGCCCTCCCAGCCCCCCGCCCCCCGCCCTCAGGCTGCTTGTCCATACACAGCCAGCTCAGCAGGAAGCTGGCCACAGCCCAGGACAATTAATATCGTGACTTTGTACCCAACACAGAGCACACTTGGGGACCAGAGGTCAGAACAAAGATCTTGGAGGCCTTCCCCTGTCATCTGTGGCAAACCACAGCCAGCTCTGTGGCATCCTGTGGCCTCCAGCCCAACATTCTTGTGTGCTGGGACCACACTCTCCCTCGGCCACCAGCCTCCACACCCCACCCCAAGCTCTGTCCAGATGAAGGGCTCAGGGAGCCAGCACTTATATCCCAGGGTGACTCAGTAGGCAGGTGAGAAGCAGCCCACAGTTGTGCTGCTGTGTGACTCAAAGCAAGCCTCTGACCCTCTCTGAGTTTTTGTTTCCTCGGCTGCACACTGAGGGGTTGCCCTTGACCTTGAATCTCATCCATGGCTGGGGCTTGGCAGCAGATAGGGGCTTGTAGCAGGTTCCCCCCACCACTCCTGCCTCGTGGGCTGTTCCTGGCCTGGTCCTGGATGGCCCCACCCCATAGGCCTGGCCAGGTGAGGTAATGTCTCAGGTGTGTGAGCAGAGGTGGAGCATCCCACAAAGCCTCATTGTCTCCCAGGTCCTGGGATGCCCCCAGCAGAGGATGAGCTGATGGGTGGAGGGACATGGGACTGTCCCAAGTGGGTGCCCAGGGCAAGTCCTTGGACATTCTGGGACTTCAGAAGGACAGAGTAGGGTAGAGTAGATGGGGATGGACAGGCAGCTCCTCATGTGCTCTCAAAGGGCAGCTTCCACCCCAAACGCATGTGGCAGGAGGGCACCAGAGCTGGGGTGCATTGCAGCATCCTGACCTGAAACCATCCAGGCCTCTAGGGCCCCAGCTAAGACCAGGGCCCCCTGGAGCCAGTAGGTCTGGGCATTTGTAAGCTCTTGCCAAATGCTGCTCGGCCCTGGTGTCTGTCTCTGACCAGGCCTCTCTGTGCCTGTTTTCTTGTCAGTGAAATGGGCCTGCCCACCTGTGCTCCAGGGCTACCATGTGGATGGAGTATAGTCACACACAGAGGGTCCCAGAGATGGCCGCTGTCAGTTGTGGGGGAGGGAGGCATGAACTCTAGGTAGCACATGGACTTGGTGAGAGACTGACACAGAGAAACAGGATACACCTGGGACGGTCCAGACTCTCCAGGGACTCCAGAACTGTCAGTGTGCTTGGCAAGTGGCCAGGTGGCCTCAGGGAAAGGAAGACACGTGCCCACATCTCCCTGTCCCAGGCCTGAGGACAGGTCTTCTTACAGAGACCTGCCAGCCTCTCCTGGGATGAAGGAGCTTGGGGAGGCCCAAAGATGCATCCTGATCAGGCCTGAGCCATTTGGAGAGGCCAGGTCAGGAGTGTAGAGCATAGAATACAGCAGAGACTTATGTGGGAAGCAGGAGGGTGGGGCCCAGACAGCCTCCACTCTCTTCTAAAGGGCCTGTTTTCCCTGTGCAGTGTGTAGGGTCAACATTCACCCTGACTCCAGAGCTGTCATGATGCTGGGGTGGGAAATCCGTTATGAACCATCTTTATGTAATGGGATGGGGCACTGACAGGACAGAGCTGAGCCAGCCTAGTCTTGTCCTTGTCTGAGGGTCCCTGCCTCTTCCCCTGTTGTGGGAGCCATGCTGGGCATGCAGGATGTTAACAATATCCTTGATGTCTATCCACTAGATGCCACTGGTACTCTGATCTGTGACAATTAAACGTGTCTCTTGACATGGCCCAAGGTGGGACAGACTCCCTCATACCCAAGCTAAGAATCTCAGCTTTATGCCCTGGATCCATCACAGACCTGGGCCTGCCTGGATCAGAGAGGGCAAGGAGCCAGCACACCCAGGGAGGGCGGGAGGCAGGCCCTGTCCCCTGCATCCCACCCATCTGGCCTGGCCTGGGAAGACCAGGCTCGGGATGCATCTTGTGGCCTTTCCACCTCCCACTGGGCCAGGAGCAGCCACAGATCTGTCCAGTGTGAGGTCTTGCCCTGTATCCTCACCATGCACCCTCCTGTGGTCACCTGCTGAGGTACCCTCCCTCAGCAGAAATGATCCATCCTTTGCTAAAGTAGCTGCTGGTTTTTCCAGTTAGGCCACACAAAGCCAGGTAGTTTTCTACACCAGCCAGGCCTCTCATGGCTCTTTTCAGTGTAAGCCAAGAGCCTTAAGTCCCAGCCTGGCTCCCTTTGGCCATGGTGTAACCCTAGCACCCAGGAACACCTCAAAATGTGCCTGGTCACCAGCCTGTCCCTGTGACTTTGGAGGAGCATAGTGAGTGAAAGGCAGGGTGCTCTTCCCTAGGCCTACTCCCTATCTGTGATATTGTGAGGCTAACGGTGCAGAAGGCAGGCACTGAGACACAGGGGTCGCACCCCTGAGAGAAGGCTGTGCACACTGCTCCACACCACCAGAAGACCAGGACTGGCGCAAGCAGTAACACTCCAGAATGTGTTGGTGCAGGCTCAGATCTCAGGAGGAGGGATGGAAGGTGCTTCCTAACCAGACCACAGTTTGGCACTCAGACCAGAGCTGGGGTCTCACAGGAGGAACACTGCTTGTCCCCAACAAAGACAAGAAAAGAAGGGAACTCCTTTCCACAGTCTCCTTACTCTTCCTAGGAGTTCTACCAAATAAATGACAATACTGCCATTTTTCAACAAGGTAATAGAGGCCTCGGAAGTTTCAGTGACTGCCCAAGGTTACTGTGTAGGTGGCAAGGGTGGGCTCAGGCTTGGCTCTTAGTGCTCTTCCAGACTGACAGCTGACACTCGTGGTCACAACTATGACCCCACCAGGGGTAAGTTGTCCATGGATCCAGGGACAGACCAGCACAGAGCTGGGCCTGGGCAGCATGTGGCCAAGGGCGGGCTGTGGATTAGGCACAGAGGAAGTGCTCCCAAGACAGGTCCAGGCCCAGCCAGCCTACAGGCAGGGAGGCAGGCCAGGCAGGTCTTTGACAAGGTGACACCTGTCTGGGGCTGAGTCCCAGGAGCCTCCAGCCACCAGCCCAGGACTGTGGAGGAACCAGCTCAGAGGCAAGAATGAGGAAGCCACTTTCCCATGAAGGTGTTCTGCTCTTGCAGACCCTGCCACCTTCCCAGAGAGAGAGAGAGAGGCAATGGAGCAGGACAGGTTGAGCAGAACGACAATGTGAGCTGCTCCTCTCTGGGCCTGATGGTCATGGCCAGCTGATGGGCCAGTGGTGGGTGGGGAAGGCTGCACCCAAGCCCCTGCCCCAGGGTCTGGGGTTCCTGTGTTACAGCCAGCAGATGCAAAGCTGCACTTAGTTGGCAGAGTATTTTTCTTTTACCCCAGGGAAGCCACCAGTGTAGCCATGAGGTGAGGGGAGCTGTACATGCAAGTCCCACTGTGAGTCAGGAGATAGGAAGACCCTGAACAGCATCAGGGTATCCTGAGTTATGGGGGTCTGTACCCTCTGTGCCAGAGCCCACTGCTCTCTCCTAGATTTTAGTTTCAGTCCTGACTTACAGGAATTCGGGCAAGTCACGGCCTCCCTCATGCCCCAGTTTCCCCATCTGCCCTGTGGGAAACTACTTCAGATGACAATGGGCCCCTTCTGGCTCAGGTTCTGCAGGCCCACAGATAGCCACAGGCAGGGACCCTCCCCTGGCCACTGCCTTCCACTTCCTAGGAGCTCAGGCCTCCAAGCAGAGGGGCAGCCACAGTTTCTCCGCTGAGAAGGGCCTCGAGGTCCTGGGTCAGGACCCCCTCAGCAGCTGTGGCTCTATCCTTGCCTCTGCATCTCACTGTTGAGGGACACAGTGGGAAACACCTGCTGGGGTATGGCAGGTGTTACAAGTGGTGGGCGTGGCGTCATTTCCCAGAGTTGCCTTTTCCACGCTGAAGCTTTCTCTGGCATGAGCTGTCTGCCGCTGGAGCTGATTCCCAGTGCTAATTACACAGTGGGTGTTGTTGGTCTCGGGGTCAACCTACCAGGGAGACTGCATGCAAATGTCCCCAAAATTAGAGACTCACAGCAGAGAGATCACACCCACTTGAAAAGACTCAGCTTGGGGATGGGTATTGACAAATGCCTACAAATTTAAGAGTCCAGCCCCTTGTTAACCAGCCCATGCTGCCCCATTTGGGATGTACACACAGATCCCAAGCCTGAAGCCCAGGGATTTGGACCCACCAGAGGTTGGAGCTAAGCCTGAGGGTCTGGGGATGACCCCACTGGAGAGTCCTGGACAGATGCCCATTTCTTCATCGCCAAAATAGGACTGACAGCCCCATCCCATTAGATCATTAGAGAGACTAAATAATCCATAAGAAGTGCCTCAGATGGGACCTGACATTATCAGCTGCTATAGAAGCATTAGCTGCCTCTATGTATACCAATCTAAGATCAGGGAAACATTCTGCATATAGCAGGTCTGAATGGAAAAGCCCAGCCACATCGGTTCCTCTGCTCTTCTGCCAGACCAATGAGGTCCTGAAAGCCAGAGAGTGGAGGCAGCAAGCTCAAGGAGACCAGGCAAGAGCCTGGGATTTAGCTCAGTGGTGCTGCTGCCTGCTTTGCAAGTGCAGGGTCCCAGATTCGATCCCCAGTACCAAAAAAAAAAAGACCCAGCAAAGCAATGCTGAGAACCCTGCAGGCAGCCTTCTCTATGCCTTTGTTCCTAGTGTCTTCCCCTATCCCAAAGATCTGTTCTACTCTGCCCATACACCTCAGATCCATTTCAACTCTGACCTTGGCCTGAGAAAGCTTCTTCTATCTTAGTCAGCTCCTGATACCAGTGGCTGGACATTATTTGGAGACAGATTTGAGTTTAACCTAAGAAAGGACTCTTAGGGAGGCAGAGCTCTCCAGATAAGGCATGAGCTGTCTGAGGAAGAGACGAGCATACACCTATCATTGGAGGTAGACTAGCAGACAGGTAGCTATCGTAGCATGAGTTGGTTTGAAATAACACATGATATAGTACCTGGCATGAGCTCCAGCACCTGGTCCTCAAGCACTTCATGCTTATCTTATCTGTCTGTTAGAGGCAGTGAGTATCTTGTCCCTTGGGGCATTCAAGCTATGCGACTGCCTGGCCTACAGCTCTAAGATCACAGCTCTGTGTGTGGGGTGCAGAATCCATCCACAATAGGCAAACTATTTGTTGACCAACTGAATGAGCCCTGCCCTCCAGCTATCTAGGCAAGCAGGGAGCTGGCTCACCTTGATATGTCCCAGGTGCATGCGGGCCCGCTCACACATGTGTAGAAAATACTTGACGTTACTCTCATCCACAATGATGTACACAGCCACCTTCCTCTTGAAGCCAGCATCTAGCAGGTCCTTGAAGATGTCCACATCTGTGAACATGTCCATGACCACAGCTATCACCTGGGGACAGAAAGAGACTGGGCCGTGAGTGCAGCAGTGGAAAGAGGGCAATTTAGCAAGATACATCCCCGGTCACCGTTGTTACCAACCCTGCTCCCAGCAGGCTCGTCACTGTGCAGTGACAGGCTGGACCTCTCTGGACCAGGATTTGACATTCAGGATACACAGTCTCGGTCAATGCCTCTAGCTGGACTCACCAGGCAGTAAGAGTGGAACACACAATCAGTGCCTCCTTTTTCTGGACCACAGACCATGGAGCACAACAAAGCTAAGTGGACAGACAGTGAGGAGTGGATGGAGAGAGAAGAGCAGGTCACTGTAGGAGGTGCAGGGTCCACAGGCACCCTGGAAAGGGACAGTCCGCAAAGGCCAGGGAACAAGGAGTGTCTCTGTGTGGGGCCCTGTGCGTGTCACAGCTGGCCCCAGAGTGCCTCCTTCCTCACCTGGATCAGGCTCACTGACATCTCCTCCCACCAGCACTCAGCAGGGGCTCACCCAGGGGCCCTGTTTTGGTCCATTCCTGAGATAAGACCAGCCACACAGAGACATGTGTCAACAGCTGGGAGAAGGGCATCAGCTAAGGAGCCACTCACTGCGGCCTCCCCAGTGTTCCAGGGTTGCAGTGGACTTTGGCAGGCCTCCCTTGTGGCTACCACTCCTGTATAGTCTGGACAAATTCCAAACCAGCATGTGCGCTCTTCCTGTCACTTCACTACATTTATCCCGCCACAGGGGACCCCATTTTCCTGAACCTGGCTCAGAATGGGGCCCCTGAGCTCAAAATGCATCTACCCAACCCAGCCTGGCCAAACCCACCTGTTCACCTCAAGGCACAGGATGAGCAAGCACAGAGACAGGTGTAGGCCCAGACCATGGCCTTTGGTATCTTCCCTATTTCCTCTCCCCTCCCAGGCCCCCAGGTGGCACAGAAGAGCAGTCAGACTAGGTCATGTGCCTGTCACAGTCACCCTGTGCAGGAGAGTCAGGCAGACCTCCACTGCCTAGGCTGCACCCCCAAGGCTGGCCCTATGCCTCTGGGGATGAGACTACCTGAGGACCCTTACACAGAGAAGCCAGGAGGTGCCCTAGGCCACACAGCAAACTGAGAATGGAGTTGGGCTGGCATCTACCAGAGCCTGCAAACAGCTAAGCTCACTTGCCCCCACTATGAGGCTGCCTGGCAGGCTCCCTTCCCTGGGATCCGTACACCAAGGTGACAGGAGGCAGCCTGTAGCCTGCTGGGGATGTGTCTGTACACCACAGCATGAGATTACTAGGCTGGCCCCTGCAGGCCCACTGGAGCTCCTCTCCAGCCTCAGGCCACTGCTGACACCCGTTGCTCATCAGGCGAATAAACCCAAATACCTAAAAGGAGACGGCTCCAGGCCTGCCCTGCCATGAACTTGCTATGTGGCCCTGGCCTTTCTGGGCAGCTTTCTCATCAATACAAGCCCAGCTCTTCGGAAAACTAAGCACTCATGGATATAACAGCCTGTGAAAAGACCCTGACCTGGAGGAGGGTGTCAGGTCCACTCAGGTCCTACCTTTTCCCCACAACCAGCCTCAAAGGGAGTTCCCAGAAGGTTGGTCATCTTGGCCCTCACTTCCCCAATCTCTTGCAAACTCCACAGTAGTGAGAGGCCAGCATGCAGCTAGATAAACTGAGATCGGTGAGATCATTTGTCTGGCTACAGGTCACAGAGCAAGTTAGGGCAAGGCCTAGGTCCAGCCCCTTCCCTTGGCACAAAGCCTCAGAGGGCTGGGCAGGTGCTGGTCCTCCCAGAGGGTGGAGTGTGAGACCTGCCAGATCCCCAGATGCCAAGACCTAGGGTGCCCTCTGTCCCTTGGGTAGTAGCTCACTGTCTCTGAGCCCCCACAAGGCTGGAAGTGGGCAGAGGATTGGCACAGGTGGGGCAGGGGCTGGGATGGACAGAGGCAAGCTAAACAAAGGCAATGCCAGCACCAGATGAGGAAGTACCTCCTGCTCCCAGGAGCTGACCAAGGATAGGTGGGGGTCTTGAGAGGGAGTGAGCTCCCCAAGCTAGGGGGTACTGAAAGAAAAGCCAGAAACTAGGGAGGTGAGTGTGAGGGCATAAGCGATGACCTGGGATTTCAGCACCAGCTAAGGGTCATGAGACTGAGTTTAGGAACGGGGTGGTAGTAAGTAACCCCTCGCCTGGGACCCCGTAGCCCCCAAGCCACTCCAGCTGTGACTCCCTCTCAATAAGCCACTCCTAAGCAGGCAAGCAGCCTCACATGCTGTCCTGGAAAGGGGCCTAATCAAGGCACAGTCAGCAGGCTCCTCCCTGGAGGCATGCCAGTACCCCTCCACACCCCCAGATCGGTCAGGGACGGTTCAGGCCTTAGGTGCCACGGCAGACAGAGACATGCCCTGGCAGTTCTGTTCCCCACTCTGCCCTCAGCCAGCCAGCCAGGGTACCTGATCCAGGGACTGCCTGCTGTCAGGGTGGATCTGCTGCTGACCATTCCCCTGGGGGAACCCCCACGGGGCTCTGTACTGAGTGCTGCTTCCCCAGGCATTGGGCTTGGTGTGGGGGCTGGTCAGACGAGGCCTTGTGAGAGGTGCCCGGTGATGCTGTGGACAGGGAGCGCTGCGTGGGTCTGGGATGATGCTGGGATGGGGGTACCTGATACATCAGCCCCATAGCTCGGCCTGTCATGCTCAGGTCATAGAGGTCTCCTAGAGGCCCTTGAGGCCTGCTGTGCCTTTCCCAGTTTGCACACAGGAAAGCTGGGACCAGTCAGTGATGGAGGCTAGAACCAGGGCCACAACTACACTCAGCATGAGGCCAGCTCCATGGCTCAACAACCACGACCACCTTTGGTGTTCACAAGCATGCTACAAGTAGCGGTTTTTTCCCTCATTTTACAGAGGAGGAAACTGAGGCACGGTAGCATTCACTACCTTGCCTAATAACCGTTTGGATAGCCCAGGTCACTCATGACCCTGTGAGCATATCCAGGACACAGTACAGCAGGAGCTCAGCCTGGGGCAGGTCACAAGGAGCTTTTATCAACCGAGAACCAGGCTGAGTAGCTCAGCCCAGGAGTAACTGCAGGAATCAGGCTGGCACCAGCCACTGCCCCACCCAAGCAGGAGAGTGGGTCCGTCCTATCGCACAGGTCTGTCCAGTTTGAACACTACAGAAACAGAGCTGCCCCCTAGAGAAAAGCACTAGGTACCTCCCTTGGCCTCAGCCTGAATGCTGTCCCCAACAAACACAGAGCAGGCTCAGGCTGGCACTCTGAGCTCTAGTCCTGACTGTGAGTGAGCTGCGCCCCACCTCTGGGCCTGTTTCCTCATCTGCACAATGGGGTAGTGGACAAGGTGTTCAAGATCTTTCCTCTCTGACGTCCTTACTGAAAGCCCTGCATCCCTGTGCCTGGGTGCCCTGCCAGAGCCCAGCAGGGCCTGTCTGGGCTGGTTTGGGCATCTTGCTGCACCCACAGGCCTGTGAGAGGAAGTGCAGGTGGCCACACCAGCTCCCCACACCCCTGTAGGCTCCCGCCCTGCCAGGTGCCAACACCAGCCCGTGGCTCCCAACACTGACAACAGCTGTTTTCCAGCCTCCCTGGGACCACAGACTCCACTCTATAGAACAAAAGTGCCCTCACAGGGTGAGAGGGTGGAACAGGCTGTCTTGGAAGTGACTGTGAGGAGAGGCAGGCCGAGATGGGCTGGCTGAACACTGCTCGAAAAGCACTGGTGCGTGGCCCAGCCTCTTCTAAGGGACCCAGACCCTGCTGGCCCCTCTCCCCAAAATGTGATGCTTTGACCCACCAGTTCCCCATACAGGCTGCCTCCTTAAAGGCCAATTACCAATTTTGCCTCTATCTGGACAATTCTTATTCATCCTTTGAAACCCAACCCAACCTCTCCCACCATCCCAGCTCCTCTCTGTCGTTATTCTGCCTCATTTGGCTTGAACAGGCATCACCTGTGCACTTCTGGAGATGCCACGGGAAGGTCGTCTCCCACAAGACCTGGACTCTGAGACAGATGGGGTTAGGCAGGAAGGTCTCTGACCTGCACGTGACAAGCCTATAATGGTTCCCCCTCCTCCTGGAAAGCTGTATGATGCTGGGCAAGTGCCTTAGCTTCCTGGTGGAGATAACAATCCCCTGTGCAAGGTCATCGGTGAGCAGTGCATTAATACAGGTGAGCCAGCACAGGACTAGCAAAGGGCAGCTATATTCACCCTCCTTGTCCACCAACCCACTCCTATTCAGCCAGACCCAGCACACCTGAAAGAGGGGTAGACAAGCCAGGAATTATGACCTGCTGGCTCCCTCTAACTTCCCTCTGGTCAGCTGTAGGGCTGAGAAAGGCAGCCCCAGGAATGCTGCAGGCAGTCTTAAAGGCTGCAGCAATGGCCATCAAGACCTGGGCTTCAACTCCCACTTCCAGCCATATTGGAATAACAGTGATTGATTTTACCCTTTTGCCATAGCAAAAAAAAAAAAAAAAAAAAAAAAAA